GCTGGTCCACCTCTGCGATTGCAACTGACCAGCCTTCGTACTGTGGAGTGGTAGCTCGATGGGGATACGCCCACCAAAGGGAGGTGACAGCTCCCGTAAGGTGGAGGTAAGTCGCGCCTCGCGTAGGCCCTATCCTGTCGTAGGGGCTCGCAATAGGTATGGCTGGCGCACTCGGCGGGAGCGGCTTGCAGAAGCTCCATGTGTATATTCGCGACGAGGATTTAGACCAACTCCTGACGAGGCCGGGAGGGTCTCGCGCTGCCTTGTGAGGTGCCGGACCGATGCGCTCGACAACGCATAATGAAAGAGAAGGCTCAAAGAACCCCCTGAACTGCCTGTGCATTGGAAGACGCAATTGCATGAGAACACAACGAAATATCGAGAAATGAATGTTTGCGAGTGAATAGCAAAATGACCCCGCTAGCGAGAAAACGGAGCTACATCCCCAATGCCAAAGCTCCCTCGCTCAATGACCCACCCCCATGCATCTCAAAGCACTAGGTGGAGGTGACCCTGTGACGAATGACTCCATGCCCTAAGCATGAGTGTGGGTGGAGTCGAGCCAATTGGGACCCGCAGAAGGGTCGACTCAGTCTCGAAAGTCTAACAGGGTAAGGCCCTACAAAAATGGTGGAGGGGCCGGGTATCGGGTTAAACAGACCCTTGTCATCCCGGAGGGGGCGCCCTACGCATGACCGTGTACATAACGAACGAGAAAGGAATGAGGACTTCAGACTGCTTTTCCCCCTTGAGAGAATCAGATTTGAGGATGGTTGGGCGCATGGCATGGTTAGGCCTGGAGGAATAACATGCATGCTTGCACCTATGATCAACTGGCTCCTTTTTGGGGAGTGGCTCTAGCCCTCTACTTCCAACACTGGTGTTCGCTAGTTCCAGGGAGGCATCTGGCAAGTCGCATGTCGACCCTTCCTCTTCATTTGGAAGAAGGGTTTCGGATACCTGGCAGGTGGTTGATGCTCTGGCTTCAGCCGGGGTCCAATAAAAATCCGACGGCGGAGTGATCCGACCGGTTGGGTGTTCTTCTCTATGCTTCTTTTGAGCCCAACTGACCCTTGCACTAAACACTTTGAATTGCTTGAAGGAACCAACATGAATACACCGGTCATCAAGAAGGAGCAATCCTTCCCTATAAAACGACAGGCAAAGGAAGAGAATGGGAATGAAGGGAGTTGCTAGACTCCAAGAAAAACTAGCTCACCCTTAAAGATGCTCACGAGAAGGAACTAGCCAATATGTATGGAAAATAGGGGGAGTGGCACACAATGTCCTGAGAGAGTGTGCGAAGCATGGGTAGGATGCACCAAGGGAAAAACACTTGTTTTTACTTGGGACTTGTGAACTGCTTGAGAGGAATTGAGCGTCCTGTCTGCAGAAAGGAAGAGGGTTTGAGTCAGCTAGGGCGGGTCGCGAAACATCGTTTCTCATAGGTACTCTTTTGTCTCATGTGCGACAGGTTGGTCCACCGGGCTGTTGGCAGGAGTTGGTCTCGCCGGGTTCGCTAGTAGCACTCTCTCCAGGGCAGACCGAGCATGGCTCGACATCTTGCCTGGAGGGATGCGAAACGTCTCCTGGGACGGGGCAGTTGCTTGTCAGCAGACGGACGAAAGACCATTGCATATGGGGCAAGGAGGGCAACTTGGGGACGATTAGTAGCTTCCCGAAGTACGACATGGGGAAGGCAAACTCCAAACGGACCAAAGGATGTGAATGCCCGGACTTGTGAAACACGCGGTACGTTGTACGGGGCTCGGGTCGTACGGCCATACGAATGGTCGTACGGCCGTATGAATAGTCCCGTATAGACTAACGACCCCCCCCCCAAAAAAAAACGAAAAAAAAAGGAGGGGGGGATGTAGAGTTTTTCGAGCTCTACACCCCCACATTTTTTATTTTATTTTTTGGTCTTTTTTTCTATTTAAGAAACTAAAAATAATTGAAACGGGGAAAAAAAACAAAATAAAGAACTAAAAATTGATTGATTGATTGATTGATTGATTGATTGATTGTCCATTAATTGATTGATTGCTGATTGATTAAATGCTTGATTGATTGATTGATTAAAAAAAAGAAAAAAACCTCGCGTCTATCCTAGAGTGTGCGCTCCCTCTCTCTTTCTGTCTGTCTCTAAGCGCACGCACGCAAGAGAGAGAGAGAGAGAGAGAGAGAGAGAGAGAGAGAGAGAGAGAGAGAGAGAGAGAGAGAGAGAGAGAGAGAGAGAGAGAG